TGAAATATAACTGAAGTAACACTCGACCCTTTTGATGTGAACGTCACCGATGTATTCTTACTCATCGGTAGATTTGTTGTATTCAACAGTGTGCCAGAATTATAAGATTTTATTGTTATTTAAGAAGATTAAGTAGTAAGAGGTAGCCCAGAACGGGTTACTTTAAGCAAAAGAAATAAAGTAAGTTTTTTTTCTCGTTCCGAACATCCTACGGAATTCTGTGTTTCCTGATGAAACCGAAATATCATTTAATGACTATTGAAATAATATTTTTGAAATGACACAATGACAGAGAGTTGTGACTGTGCTGTGTTTAAAAAAGAACAACTGTACAAGTTTCTGAACCTATTGAAAAGAGTTTTGTAGTTCAGCTAACCATTAGACACTCGAATGTTCCGTTTAGTTTTTAGCTCTGTTGTTGCATGTTATTATTTTTGTTGATGAGTGTGGTTTATTTCTTTTTTCTAATTTAGTGAACCCTGGATGAATAGTTGATTTTTCGAAAATAAACTTGCTGTGTATGTCCATCTTCCGCGCAAAATTTTTAATTTCTTGTGAAACAGTAGGTGTTGTTATTTTGCTTTTCGATTTTCTCGGTTCACTTGTGTTAAAGGTTGAACAGATCGTATAGTCACGTACTGAATGTATGATCAGTGAAAAATGAGAAAGAACGAAAATGAACAAAATGGAGAAAGAAATGACAGATTATCTCGAAAGGGCCATAAAAGCTCTGGTAAGACTAGAGATCGAAGAAATGAGAGTTCTGTCTTAGCAACCGATAATAAGTAACAAACGTTTATTACTTTTACCGGATAATGTAACAATCAGTAAAAGTAAAGTAGCATCCCTACTGGTTTTGTTTTCGTCAGCAGAAAAACGGTGAGTGATCATACAAAAGAAACAGGAAAGAAATAGAAAAAGATCGTGATTTACCTGTAGTAAGAAAGAACGGAAAGAAGAAAAACAAACAAATAAACGAACAGAGAAAAGAATGAATAATAATCTTTGCAATAATGCACAACAACGATGGCGCATAGTGTACGGTACGCGGTATGAGTAAATAGCGACACAATCAAACGCTTCTTCCGACATGTGAATAGGTTACTCATTTTCCTCGTTCCGATATATCACGCTGCAACAACAGCGCTGTTTGGCAGGTTACTTGACAACCTTTCTTTTTCTCTTGCGAAGTTTCATTGCACTTGCGCAACACACAAAGAATATGGTTGGAAAAAACCTTTTGTTTTCTTGCACATGAAACATTTTCATTACATGTGAAGTACACATAGAAAAGAGATTACAAATTGTTAGATACTTGTCAACTACTAGCTGGTACCAATATCGATCACCTCCTCCGCTCTGCAAAAAAAAAACGATGCGTGCAATCATGCTAACTCGTCTTTTTCTCGTCATCACCATCATCAATTTTTCTTTCTCCATCGGTGCAAAACAAATCAAAAAAGATCTTGGCACAGTGATCGGTATCGATCTGGGAACGACCTATTCCTGTGTGGGTATTTTTAAAAACTGCCATGTTGAAATTATTGAAAATGATCAAGGCAACCGAATTACACCATCGTGTGTTGCCTTTACACCCGATGGCGAACGATTAATTGGTGATGCTGCCAAGAATTTACTTACATCCAATCCTGAAAGTATGTTCATGTCAACTGTTCGTGGTCGCTTTTAATTTTCTTTGTGACTTTGAGGTACAATATTCCATGTCAAGCGACTCATTGGTCGTAAATTTAACGATTCATCCGTTCGACAGGACATCAAACATTTTCCATTTTCCGTAATGGAAAAGAATGGAAAACCGATTGTCAAAGTAAATACACGTTATGGTGAAAAATTATTTACACCCGAAGAAATTTCGGCAATGATACTTGGCAAAATGCGTGAGATTGCTGTAAGTCCTATTTAGTTTCATATAGAAAATGGAAACAATCATCTGTCGGATATTATAGGAAGCATATCTCGGAGAGAAAGTGAAAAATGCTGTTGTGACTGTACCTGCCTATTTCAATGATGCTCAACGACAGGCAACGAAAGATGCTGGCACAATCGCGGGTTTGAATGTCATACGAATTATCAACGAACCGACCGCAGCAGCTATTGCATATGGTTTGAACAAATTGAACGAGAAGCAGGGAGCGAAGAATGTTCTTGTTTTTGATTTGGGCGGTGGAACATTTGATGTTTCAATTCTGACACTAGATAATGGTGCTTTCGAAGTACTCGCTACTAATGGTGATACTCACTTAGGTAAGTGCCTGTCGTTCTCCTTCTTTTCTCTAAAAAAACGCTGCTCTCGTCTATGTGTAGGCGGTGAAGATTTTGATCAACGTGTTATGGAACATTTTATTCAATTATTCAACAAGAAAACGGGCAAAAATATAGCAAAAAATATCCGTTCGCTAGAAAAGCTCCGTCGTGAAGTTGAAAAAGCTAAGAGAACATTGTCATCAGAACAACAATCAAAAGTTGAAATTGAATCATTTTCTCTGAATGACGATTTTAGTGAAATATTAACACGTGCTAAATTTGAAGAACTCAATATCGATTTGTTCCGTTCGACAATGCTACCTGTACAAAATGTCATGAAAGATGCCAAGTTGAAGAAATCGGATATTGCCGAAGTTCTTCTCGTCGGTGGATCGACGAGAATACTTAAAATACGACAAATTCTCAAAGATTATTTCGATGGAAAAGAACCATCACGTGGTATCAATCCAGATGAAGCTGTAGGTGAGTAAGAGACGAATAAAAAAGAAAAAATTATGTTTTTAATGTCTGATGTGTTTGTGCAGCTCATGGTGCAGCTATACAAGGAGGTATACTGTCGGGCGAAAAGTGCACTGAAGATATTGTCGTCATAGATGTTAATCCACTGACGATGGGTATTGAGACTAAGGATGGCATTATGTCAAATATTATTCCACGAAATAGTGAAATTCCAATAACGAAGATGAAACCTTTTACAACCACTGTCGACAATCAAGCTGCAGTGGCCATTCGGGTGTTCGAAGGTGAACGAACGAAGACGAAAGACAACCATTTTTTAGGCGAATTCGATCTGACTGGTATTCCACCAGCGCCACGAGGTGTACCTCAAATTGATGTCACCTTTGATATCGATGTCAATGGCATTCTCAATGTGAGTGTTGCCTATGGGTGGGATGAAAATCAATTTCCTATTTTTTGTTTAGGTCACTGCTGAAGATAAGAATTATGGCAATAAAGAAAACATTGTCATTAATTCGAAGACAAACCGATTGTCATCCACAGAAATTGAGCGAATGATCAAAGATTCGGAAATATTTGCAGAAGAAGACAAAAAACTTCGGCTTCGAGCAGATGCCAAGAGTAAACTTGAATCGTAGGTATTCTGCTCAGACAATTGAGGACAAAATTGATACTTTCATATGTTTTTTAGCTATGCCTATTCACTGAAAACTCAAATGGCCGATAAGACGACAATCTTCGGGGAGTTATCATCGACAGAGAAGACAAATATTGCAAATGCAGTTGAACAAGAAATCAAATGGGTTGATTCGAATCCAAGTGCCAAAATCGACGAACTTCAAACGCACAAAAAAACAACTTGAACAAATTGTCATACGAACAATGACCAATTTCAATAGACAGAGTGTCGCTTCGAACGACACTCGATCACGATCACATCATTACGACACTGATCTGTGAGAATTGTTCAAGATAGCATATATTCGATTTGCCTGTGTGTACAATTGTCGAATGCTTGTTACGCATATCACTTTCTTGTACTTTATTTTCTCTGAAGCTCGTAATCTGTTATTGGTGTGATACCTTCTGGACATATAAAAACTTTGAAACGGTTAAGAGTCAATAATCTGATTAGAATAGTCTATTTTAAATTTACAGCAGCCACAGATTAAACTGGAATTGATTTCATTAAACAAGATCTGATTTCGATTCTTCATAGAGTCATTTTCAAAGAAACTATAGAACATTACTGTACTTTACACATGAAACATTGTGAAAAGAAAGGAGAAGAATTTTGTCTTTATATACTGTGTGCTACTGGTAAACAGTCAGTCAGTAATTGTGTGATCGGTGGTTTTGTTCTGTTCGATCTCATCCCGATCTCTCATCACATTATCATTCCCACTACGCGTATCATCCAACTCTCTCTTCTTTAAGACCCAAGCGAAAATTGCCCAGCGGAAAAATCTAGATGTTCTTGCTGGAGCATTGGGCTATGCGCCAGCAAGAACATCTAGGTAAAAGAGTAAAAAATATTGACTTATCTAGACGTATCGGGTTGGATCCGATGCCACACAATGCAAATCTCAATGCCTTGAGAAGCCAGTAAATAGGCAAGTAAAGCAGTGCTTGTTTACAGTAGTCTGGTGCGTGAACGAAGACAAAAAAAATCTGCTTATTTCGTGCACTTTTCGTTTTGGACCTACCCAACTTCATTGGATAAAAGTTCT